GTGTTAATCGTGCCAGAGTCTGGCGAAGACGATGACGTTTACGTTGTGTGCAATAGCCGTGCTTTCTTTTCTGTCAAGAAGCACTAAGAACCTAAGTGTTGCTGCTTGAGCGTTACATCACCGACTTCCCGGAAGTTACGGTGTTAAACTATCTTCGCCGTGGTATGGCAAACGGATAGATCAACATGAACGGTTAGAAGGATGCGTAAACAATTTTCAGATCTTTGCAATAAAATTCACGTTTTCTTCGTAGAGCTGGTGGCTGGAAAAATGAGGCTTATAGGTTCGTCATCCGTCCTGTCTTGCGGGGCAACGAATATTTGCATGACTTCTGCAACAATTATTTGTAGCACACGCGTGCTATAGCAGTCGCTGGTGTCTTAATTAGGCTTTTCTGTTCGGCTGTTTATTCCACGATTACCACTTGGTGTATGTCCTGCTGTATAGCTTACATAATGAGTCCTACTCGACGTGTTAAAGTTTATGTTGCTATTTTGCTTTCGTTCTATCGTTCTAACCGCGTATGAGTGTTTGGTCCTGTGTAATGTTTTTTGACATGCTCAATAAAGTTCTGTGTCCGTTATGTTGTGAGGGCTTATTGATTCTATGAAAGCGAACGCTGCTTAGCAGTACTAACGGAGTGGATGCCCATATTGTCTCAGAAATTGTTTTCTGAGGAACCACTCTCTATTGACCTGCATGCGACATGCACCTAGAGAAGTGAAGATGCCGTTTGTTTGCTAGTTTGTTTGTTTGTTTATTACCACTGTCAACGCCAAGGGCTTCTTACGGGAGTGGAAAACACATACAATGAATAGCATACACATAAATGTTGAAATTCAAGCGAAAAAAATAAAAAATCGTCATGAAATACGTTACAAAACCAACGTTACAGCAAACACAGCCATTTACACTAAAAGACAAAATTAAACACACGCACGTGCACTTGCATTTTGCGCATTGTAAACAACAATTAGCAAAGAGAGAGGCAATATACATAGACATCGTGAATTACAGGAATAAAAAATTAACAAAAATACTATGACGAATCAGTTTTTGAGAAAACAAGCTATTCTAAAGCTGCAGAAAACGCTGTGATGGAGGAAGACATCGCGACTGTGTTTGGTAATTCGTTTCATTCTTTAACTGCCCCCGGAAAGAAGCTCTATTTAAATACGTCGTTGCGGGTGGCTGGTGGCTGATATATAACGTGTGCTTGTGTCAGAAGCGCGGATCTGGAGAAATTTCAAAGAAATCTAATGAGTTAATTTTAACCTGATTACCAATAATGAGGAATAGAATTTTCAAATGGTCATACTTAGTTCTAAGGCTGGTAGGTTTGCACGGTTGCCAAGTTCGGAAGCAAAGTGCATGCCTTGATATTAAGTGCGAAGCATTTCTTAGCTAACTTCGGCGACTTCGAGCGTATCTGTCTGTCTGTCTGTCTGTCTGTCTGTCTGTCTGTCTGTCTGTCCGCCCGTCAGTCCGTCCGCCCGTCCGTTCGTCTATCTATCTATCTATCTATCTATCTATCTATCTATCTATCTATCTATCTATCTATCTATCTATCTATCTATCTATCTATCTATCTATCTATCTATCTATCTAGTCGCTTACGACTTTTAGCTCTCCTGGCCGTTTCAATAACGGTATCGATACCAAATTTGGTATGGCATAACGTGACTGTATGACGAGCGTAAGTTAGTAGTCATAACATCAAAATCATTACATGTATGTCATCAAAGTCATGATTTACATTTCGTGGTCTTGCTGGTCTAGCGGTGGTTTCGTTTACATAAAATGTTGAAAAGCTGGTATGGTATGCCATGACTACATGGTCAACCCAAGCGATAGACCCTAACATGAAAATCATGACATGCGTGTCATGTAACAACATGACTACATGCCACGCTCATGATGTGCTCGCGGCCGTTTCGCTAGCGTCACATATACCAAATTTGGTATTACAGTACGTCTATGGATGATGAAGGTATGTGACTGGTGCAGACATGATAAACATGAGATGCGTATCATGTAACAACATGACTACATGCCATGCTCATGATGCGCTCGCGGCCGTTTCGCTAGCGTCCCATATACCAAATGTGGTATTAAGGGACGTGAATGGATTTATTTATTTTTATTTATTTACAATTAACCTACATCGCCGTGAGGCATTACGTAGGGAGGTACACATAATAATTTGACTACATGGTTTTAAATCGAAACAGTAGATTCAACAAATAAAACAGCACTCAAACTATTTTAAGAGAAGAAAAAAACAATCGAATATTGGTGAGCGAAAATAACGTCACAGTCATGCATTTGTAAACACCCACACGCTTCGAGACAGCAAACCATTCTTAGTGGCAGTGATATTGTAGGAGTTGTTACAAGGAAGAAAAAAAATGGATGACGAAGGTATGTGATTGGTGCAAGTATTATAATCATGAGATGCGTGTCATGTAGGAACATGACTACATGTCACACTCAAGGCTTCGATGAGCTTCGACGGGACCCGGCGCGCGTTCGTTTCGTTTCGTCACGACGGCGTTGCCGCGCCACGCGCTTATCTGCCTGCCTTAAATGGCAACCACAGCCACGCGTATGCTCGCGTCTACGCGTCAAAAGCGTCAAATGCGCCTCTCGGCGTCGGAGGGGCATACGCGAGGAAGCGCGAGGGATCAAGCCGGGCTTATTCTCGCAGGCGCACTTCGCGCTGCGCTGCTTAGACGCATGCGCATTTGAGCGAGGCCGGCGTCCCGAAGAGAGGCAGACGCAGCGCCGTCTGGGTGACGTCATCGGTGCGAAATGCTCGCACCGGTTGCCACTGGGCCGCGCCTACGGACGCTGGTCGCACCTGGCGTCAGACTATGAATGCTCGCGTTTTGCTAAGCTCGAGTCGCTGTGCCCAGCGTGCGCGCGCGTCAACGCTACATTGAAGCATATTGGGCCCTTTATGATGCGCTCGTGGCCGTTTTGCTAGCTCCACATTAGTGAAATTTGGTGTTACGTGACGTCAATGGATGACAAAATATATGACTGGTGCAAACATGATAATCCTGACACGCCTGTCATGTAAGAACATGACAAAAAACCATGCTCATAGCGTGCTCACGGCCATTTCGCTAGCTACACATATACTAAATTCGGTGTCACGTGACGTGAATAGAAGACGAAGGTACACGACACATCTAAACGTGATAATCATGACACGGAAGTCATGTACGGCATCATTTACCTCCACCTTGTAACGTGGTGCTAATTTTAAAGTGACATAAAAAATTATCATTTATGCTTCGCATATCATCGATTCCCACTGTACGTGGGATCTGCCAATTTTTTGAATTAAACACGATCTTTGTTGGGGACCTTCGACGCAAGAATTTTGGTCTGTCTGTTCATTTGACTCTTTGTGCACCCTTAACGATACTGAGTACTTAAAACGGCACCAGCCGATACCCCAACCGGCCGACCCTATCCGCAGCACCCACCAATGTTGCTCATGGTTCAACGTTCATACTTTGCGATCGTCAACTGAAAAGCAATTATTGCACATATCTCAGGCACTATAACAACACGTATATATTCTGTATGTGCGTATTTTAGTAGAAAAGGCATACATAAGTAATTATATGGACCGTAGCGTTTATCACGTTGTGCTGACCATGCAACACTTGCACGAAAAGGCAAGTGTTTCCAGCGCTTTGCTAAGACGACATGGTGGAGGCACCTACCCATCGCCTTGCGTTCTACTCCTTACCACCTCTGAGACGGGCGTGCGCGCCCGTCTCAGAGCCGCACGCTTTGTTTTCCAAGATGACTGCCAGACAGCGCTCATGTCTCACGTGTGACGTAACTTGATGCGTTCATTCGCCTCCGCTGCACGCTCGAGGCACTCTGACGCAGCTCCTCCAGAATACCATTCACCGATTTTCATGCGCAGAACATCAAGTAAACGTTTTGTTCACTCTCTTCATATGCAAGACTATCGTCTTTCGACTAAATTCGCATATTGCCATGCAGATACGGGGCCAATTTTTTTATTAAAATCGTGTATAGGAGACCTCGGTGCATTCTATGGCAAAAACCCAGCAAATTACATACGTAGTGTTATAACAAAATGTAAAAGACCCAAAATATGTCATTCGTGGTGGCCCCTTGTATTCGGATAAATCTGAAAACCTCCGTTAAACCCTCAACACTCGTCGGTAAACGTTTTGACGATTCGGATTCATCCGCTAAGCATTGATTTAAAAAAAAAAGACATTTGCAACGTTTAAAGTACATTTTCAAGGCTGAGAATTATGAATGAGGCTACCTCTATTAGCGGCAGCAAGCTCGAAAAATATGCTTGCGTCTATGACAGCAAGCTTCAAGGTAGTAATAAGAAAAAACTTATTCGTGACCTATTCAAGTATTTGTGCTTGTGTGTGCCATATACCTGTATGCAAATTGAAACCTTGCAGACGTCTAAAATGTGTAGAGAGTGTTCGCATATTATTTATCTAAGATTTCTTAGAGGTGAGCATAATCATAATTATAGGTTTTTTATTTTTCATTAAGATGATGGAGATGATGCGGAAGGCTAGAAAAAACCTCAGAAGCAACTTGACTGGCCCCTGCTTCCCTACAAGTTACATTTTTGGGAGCTTACAGCATCGCATATCAACGACCTTAAGAACAGTATAAATAAAAAGAACTTGAGAAAAAATTAAAAGATAAAAAAAACAAGATTATCAGCAAGAACGCAACGCATTTTCATTGCACACAAAATTAATAAAAGACATTACAACTGCTCGTGATGCAAAACTAAACACTGAAGTGCGGAGAACTTGCGATGTAGGAGAAATAAACTCTGATAAACCTAGAATTGTCTCAAAAAATCAATAAACTCTCATAAACAAGTACCGAATTTCAAGAAAAATAAACTCCGAAAGCATCGAGCCATAGAACGCAAGATTATGCAAACGACGTCTTTTTTGAGAGATACACCTCGGTGATATTCTTAAAGCTCCTTTATTGCCCAACGTTCGTCCGATGGTGAGCTCAAGGGAGCCCTGCATCTTTCCACAGATCCATTACGTCACTTCCACGAGTCTTGGACTCGATGCGGTCCTTCATTCTCCTAATCTGTTCCGGGCTGAAGTGATTCTTCCAGTCGCCAACGAGACCTTTGCGTATGAAGCCTGCGTTTCCCGGTACGTCCCAAATGTCCCCAAAAATGCCCTTCAGTTCCTTCTTCAGTTCTTCCCTGGCGTCGGCGGGCACGGACTCTATCAATCCGGTCCAGTTCTTCATCTTCGAATTCAGGGATTTCATGTTTTCGACGCTCGTTTGCGCCAAGACTTGCCCTAGAAGCTTTGGATTTTTTCGGAACTTCTCGCCGTACTTGTCCTTGCCCAGGAAGTCCGCAGTCTTCAGAACACAGCCCGCTGTGTCTCTCTTCAGCTGCTCGTAGGTGATGAACAGCACGTTTGGGTCTCCACGGTGTGCGTACCAGGAGAGCAAGTGGTCGAAGTAGTCACCGTAGTCGACCTTGCTTTCCACGAACATGTTGAAGAACTGATCGAACGTGCCCTCCTGGAACCGATAAGTCGGAAGTCGCCTGCGGAAATAACATCCATAAAGTGTCAGAGAACATCTCGTGTCACGACTCGTGACGCAGTAACTCCAAGATATGTCTTACAGAAATGAGAGCTCGTTGCATCGCAGACTCCGATTTAGTTATCCGCCACAGTCGCAGTTAACAAAAACTATTATTTTCGTTCGTAAGGAAAGAAATAAACACTTTGCAAGGGGGAATGCGAAAGCAATAAATTCGAATGCCATACGAAATAAGGCGGGCAGCTAAATCTTTTGGATACTATCTCGCTTAACTACAAAACGCTGGCTTACGCGAATACGGCTGCTTCAGTTCCGAGGCGAAGTGAGTGGTAAGTACACTGCACGCACACGAGTCGTCCACAGATGTCTGTCGAGATGGCCAGCCCGCCAGCACTCACGTCCGTGCGTTTAGGATGAAAGTTCGCAGTTGCTGCTCAAGCAACGCAACCTTCCCCCACCCCCACCCACCCTCTGGTGCCTTTGCATGTTTCTGCCCCAGACGAAAGACGGACGGTACGTTTCCTCTCGGCTAGATGAGTCATCGACGGCAGGCCTCACACGCGGATCGGTGTTATCGCACAAAGCCGTCGTGCGTCGGAGATCTCCGGTCACGGTGTAACACGTGTGTCCAGCTCATTTCATGTCTACTTCAGTAGCGTTCGTCTCCAACGCTCGTGCGCTATCACTGGGGCGTAGAACACACGACGCGCGGAGAG